AATTAAAACATTATAAGAATTCTTCAAAAAGAATAGGCAGAAGATAGGCTTATCGCCCAGTGGCTCAGTCTTAGTACAGCCCATCACTGCCCAAGCCCAGGCTAGCATGCAATATCACTTATATTACTCCTAATATCAAAGCATGGCAAACTCACTAGGATTTGCAGAAACCCTATTTGTTTATACCTATGTGTTTAAACCACCACAATAAATTCAAACTTCCTTCAAAGGAAAAATGAATTAGCATCAAGCTTTCTTAAACAGAGAATGCAACCCTGAATGGCTTAAAGAAAAGAGGATATGGGGGAAGAAATCAACCTCAGTCTAGTGAACCACCCGTGAAAAGAAAGCTTGATGGCAAAATTTTAAATTTACAAAACCCCATAAACCGAACACCAACCAAAAAGTTAAATAATTAAGTAAATATAAGCATAAAATTTAGAAAGGAGAAACTAACAATAAGGTTCTGAATTGTTCTGACTTAAAGTGAACCAAATGGAGAATATATATAAAACCAGCTTCAAAAAAGCAACTTATTCCAATTTCCAACCATACACATTTCTTAGAGCATGAAAATGCAGATCGATGTTAATGGAGAAATTATAGTTATTTAAATTTAAAAGAAATTTAACCCACAAGTTAGAGGTGAAATATAGATTTCTTTTTATAATAGAAAAGGTGAAATATAGATATGCTAGCAAAGGAATTTACCAGTTACTTATTTAATGAGCAGTTGAGCATACCGTCAATAACCTTAGAATCAGCTAACCATTTTCTCAGGCCCGCTATTAGCTTTTCATCCTGTTCTCTTGCATGAAATCTCAAGGAAACTTGATAAGGATGGAATCCTTCACCATTTTTCCCTTCATATAAAGCAAATGAAGAAAATCTTTTGTTGAATATAGCATATACATCTCCTTCATGAGTTTTCATCTGCAGAAATGTAATTACCATTTCAAACTAAATTTATAAAAGACAAACACTATTTGTGGACAGTGAAAAATAAGAATGTAAATACAATTTTCTCTTAAAAAGTCTATAAAAAGGTAGAAGAACTCAAATATCAAGCTAACCTCTGTTCATACAACAAGAAATATTCATAGAAGATTAGATGAGATTAAGTCTCATGCCCTTTGTCTCATTTTCCCAATTTTATATTGACTTTTTGGCATTTAAAGACTTATTCTTCTAGCCAAAACAATGGCTTATTCTTTAGCAAAAAAAGAAAAAGAAGGTATATATTGATTAAATGATACACCAAAGAGAAAAAAAAGGAAACCAAGAGATATATAAGGTTTTGATCCTGCTAAAAAAGGTTATATTGAAGCAGAATTTTTGAAGTAGAATCAAAGAGGAATAGGAAGCTAAACTAGAAACAGTCGAAGAAAAATTTCCTGTTTTGCTTTAGAAAATGTTAAAAACATAATGATTTCTGTTAATGTTAAATCAATGTCAAAGATTTTCAAAGCCAAAAGAACGGTGCTATTTGTGTTGATTTTTGGAGGAAATGGTTTTCAAAAGTGGGAAATAGATGCAATGAGATGGGTCCTTGAGTATTTAGGTTTGATTTATAAATTGGGGTCATGAGACAAGGAGAATTGTTGTCCAAAATGTCCATTTGGCAGGTTAATGATTAAATGGTGTGACAAGGAATTGAGTTCCAATTTTTGTGTAACTT